TTCTTCGGGGGCCTGCTGCGCCGCGCTGCCTGCCTGCGCCGCTGCCTCGGGCCTCCGGCCTCACACTCGCTCAGCGAGGAGCTGGAGCTGGAATTCCGCAAGCGGAGCCCCTACAACTACCTGCAGGTCGCCTACTTCAAGGTGCAGACCTGCCCGGAGCCGGGCGGTCGGAGTCCTTCTGATCCGGGAGACGTAGCGGGTAGCAGGAAGAGTCTGCAGAGAGGGAGGGTGGCTGGGGAGCTCCCGGACCCAGGGAGAGCAGGTTATCTGGAGGAAGATCTGCCCGGCTGGTCTGCCTGGACAGATGCTAGCTCTAAAGGGTTCGGCCTAAGGTAGGGTCCAGGCCAAGAAAAACTTGATCTTTTGTTCCCGAGAGACCTCCTAAAGAGAAGTAAAGCGCGGCGGGTTGGGTCTCCCATCCTGATTTCATTGTAAGTGGCCAAGTGAGAAGCGAGGAGCCCTCTACAGTATCTTCCTTCCGGTTCATTCTCTAATGATGCTTTTCCTGCTGCACAGTCCAGCAGCGCTGTTTGAGACGTGGGATTGCCACGTCGCGCCGCCGGCAGGGGCTGCCTGGCTCCTCCCTGTGGGGGACCCTTTGCCTAGTCAGTTTCCAAAGAAAATGAGTATTTTTTTTCAGCTTTAATTGAGTTTATTGGTACATTTTAGGGATACAGTGCAGTTACATTCATTGTTGGGATCTTGTACCTCTACATGACAAGTCTTGATTCTCATTTTTTCCCCTTACCCCTGCCTTCCCTTCACCCAAAATGAGTATTTTTTAAGAAAGCCACTTTGCTGTAAGTCCAAGTATACAAATAGATTTGGACCGCCTTGGCTTGTGTGGTGATGGTAGTGAGCAGCTTGTATTTCCACGTCACTGTTTTAAGCACTTGGTATTTATTAACTCATTTATCCAGACTCTCACGGTGCCTTGCTAGGTGGACGCTATCAGTCCCATTTTATTTCACGGGGGGGGGGGAAGGAGCCATACTGGGTATCTGTTCTGTCCATCCTATAACAGACCTTCAGTTCTACCTAAAGAGAGACTTTGAGTCTCTTGGGGAATCCCAGATTTCCACCCCTGCAAGAGCATTCTGCTTGTGCCGTTCCTCTCCATTTCTCCTGGAAAAGTATGGGCATTTTGAGTCCAAAATAACTGGGCTATGGCTTTGGTCGAAGCACCTAACAGCGCCACTTAAAGTCTTTTGACAGACATTTATTGACTATCTTCTACATTCCAGTCCTTACACAAGGGATGAAATGCTTACTCTTGTTTTTGCTTTGCTGCTAAAAATCGCTGTAGTTTAGATAGGACAGGGAGCACAGAGGAGGGAAGATCTAGCTTCATCTCCCAGATATTAAGCTTGAGAAAAGAGGCGACACCGCGTCTGACCTAACTAACTACATACTGCTTGGGAGAGGAAAGTGTCCATTCCAGATCTCTATCTAAAGTGGAACCCAAGCAGGAAAGGAGTCTGTTGCAGTGACTGGATTATTGGGTTGTGTGTGTGGAACAGCAGAAGAGGAGACCAGAAAGTTTAGCAGAGCCAGATTTGGAAGAGAATTCTGCAGGATTCGGGCAGCCCATCATCAGAATTGGGTTTGACAGTGCTAGTTCTGGACTCCATAGAATAAGCCTTGGAAAGAGAAAGTGGTAGCAGCAAAAACAGTTTGAATTAGGAAACCAGTGTCTCTCTCTCTCTGTCTCTCTTTCTTTCTCTCTGTCTCTCCATCAGAGAGAAGGAAATTAGGTACCTAGTGCCTTGAGGGTAACAGTTTAAGGAAAGAAGGGAGGGAAGAACTGAGGAGCAGTATTGAAAGTTAAGGGAGAGTAAATCCATAAAAGGAAAGATGAATTTCTAATTCTACATTTAGAAACGAAGGTGCAGAGATTTACACCCTGTATTACCTAACCATGCTTCAGTATGGTTTTACTATTACTTAAGTGTGCTTTTACTATTACTGATGATAAAATGAAAATTCTTAGCGCATCAAGGATACCAGCTCCGATTTATTGAGCATTTTCTTTGTTGTGTGAGGCACCCTAGGTTCAAAGACTTGTGTTCAAAGCTGCACATCTGTCATCTCTTTGAACTCCTCAACAATCCCATGAGAAGGCAGTGAGTGCTACCTCCAGATAACAGACAAGGGAACGGAATTGGAGGGCAGATATCTAAATCACAGAAAGTGCCATTAAACCTAGATTTGTTGCTGGTCTGTCTAACACCAGAGCACATAGATCTTCGGTGATTTATTTTGGGTCCTCTATATGAAGCTGTATTATTTTGATATACTGGAATCTATTGCTTTGGGTAGGCATTATTAAGGCCTGTAGCACATTTTCCCCTTAGATTTCTTTTAATAGACGTTTGTTTTAACTTCTTGAGCCCCAGGCTTTGAGTCAGAAAATACCATCTCTGGCTTTTGTAAAGGACCTTGGGATTTTTCAGCCATCCACCTTTGCCCTGAATGTGTCAAAAACTCTTGATTTTATTTTATGCAGAAAAAAAGTTTTCTAGGAAAATTCTTAGCACAGTTTAATTGTTATCTGCCCTTCCTTACTCCTGAATCCTGAAGCTGTAAACTTTCTTCAGCTTAGTAACTACATTTAAATGTTAAGACTCTATTACCTGGGTAGCCAGTCTTCATAGCTCCCCCTAAAATATGCCCTTTGTTTTAAGGTAGAACTTTGTGCCACTAAAGCATTACTTTCTGTAATTTGGGGAGGCCCTAAGGCTGACTGGGGAAAGAGCTGCAGATATGTAGGCCACTGTGCTCCTGCTGCCCTGGCCTGGCGGTGCCCAGGAGAACTGACTGAAAGCTCAGAAAGGCTTAGGGAGGCCGGGATTTCCTGTTTACCGTGAACTACATATGTGGACACAAGCCTTCCAAGTTTGGCGTGAGAGTGATATTTTGTGCTTCACCCTTAGATAAACAAGCTGGAGAAAGCTGTAGCCGCAGCACACACCTTCTTTGTGGGCAACCCTGAGCACATGGAGATGCGGCAGAACCTGGACTACTACCAAACCATGTCCGGAGTGAAGGAGACCGACTTCAAGGATCTTGAGGCCAAACCCCATATGGTGAAAAAGATTATCCGCTTCTCTCTCCCTCTCTTTCTTTGTAAAGTGAAATTTTTCTGATAACAGAAGTAGTAAATGAGCCAGGCATGGTGGCTCATACCTGTAATCCCAGCACTCAGGAGGCTGAGGCAGGAGGATTGCTGTGAGTTCGAGACCAGCCTGGGCTACATAGTGAGTTCCAGGTCAGTCTCAACTACATAGTGAAACCCTGTCTCCAAAA